TGAAGTTTCATATGACTTTAAGAAATGGTATAAAACTATACCGATAACAGGTCATAGAGAAATTGAAAATGTACAATTGTTGCAGACTGAGAGCCAAAATGCATTGATGCATTAGAAAAGAACTGACATAAAAAATAGAAAATGAGTTATACAATGTGTAAAGCCTTTTCTAATATCTGCTTCCTTGGTCAATTATTTGTATTTTAATACTTAAGATTTGTTCGAGTACTAAAACTGAAATATCTCTCCTCGTGTAATGTTATTTAAACATTGGATCCTGTTTACAAGATTTCATCATTCAAAGCTTTAAGACAGAAATACAGAATTAGTCCAATTTCGTTTCATTACCCCCCATAAAGTGATGAATTATCTGAAAAAAATTACGTTTAAATGCCTTCAACAACAGAACTACATTTAAAGTAGAGGTGATTGCACAAAAAAGATGAGGATATTTTGAAATATTTTCCGAAGAATATTTTTCACAGCGATCAGTCAATGAAAGACAATGAAAGGGGAACGGTTGTTATTTCCTTATCTATCTTTAGATTTGCCTGTTTTTAAACTCATTAAAATGCAGTATTTTGTTTTTAATTTCGTCTATATTAAATGAAAGGTCTAGCAATTGGAAGATTTCGGGAAAGTTTAATTTAATTTGTATAGAAAGCAACCCAAGCGTACCGTGGAATATGCGTCCAAGACCCGTGGATCATTTGTCAACTTGCCTTTGAAGTTAATTAACTTACCAACGCCTTCCAAATTGTTGAATCGGCTCAGAAAAAAAGGTGTGAATGTTTGAAGTAAGGCCTATAATAGTAAGTTCATAGTAGTCTGATCTTAAATTATGTGACTTGCTTAACATTTTTGACTGAAAAACTTTACTTATTTTTGGTTGAGGCTTTTGACTGTTTTATAACTCATTTTCCCTTTTTTGTTTTGATTTTTTTATGGGTTCTCCTCAAATCAAACATGAAAACAACACATAAACATGAAAAACATTAGCTACGATTTAGACAAAAATTTAAAGCATGATTTTGTTTTGTTTTCAAGCATAAATAAAAAATAGAATATTGAAATAATACTGTCGCTATAAGCAATCACTTTTCTTCAGTTTTGTTAAAATAAGCTCAAATCATCGCTGATATATATTCGACCTGATTTGGGTCCATCTGGATGCAATCTTTAATTTGATCGTTAGTTGGAGATAGGTCGCGCATGTGCTCAGCATATTCAGTTATTATAAAGAAAATAATTTCAAAATTAAAATGTGAAACAAATGAGCCACCAGTAAAACGATTTCGATGGTTCGGCCACAAAAACCATTCCTAATCAGATAAAACGATGACATATGAAGTCTTTCAATCTATGACACGAAATCAAACAGACCTAAAAAAAATCGTCATGAAACTATTGCACGAGCTTATTCATATCCATAGTTATGCTTATGTCGTTCACATGACTATCGGAAGTCTTCGGAGGTCATCTCACTTTTTAATTAGTTGGGGTCTTGTCCTAAAATAACCAGGAAATGTGGAAGTCATGCATTGTTTATTGTTTCCTATGGATTTTTTTTAATTAAGGTAAATGTTTGAGTATGCAATAAATCTAATTAAAGAATTGGAATCAAGTCGGTGGTATCGAATTTGGCAGTGTTATGCCCTTTTTAGTGTATAGTTTTAAAAATATTTTACATGAAATAATCCATTGTAAAATAAAGGGTTGGTGGGTAGTAATTATTATTATACCTTCTGACTGTATTCTACTTGTGATATGCTTTGTTTACGATAAAAGAGATGTTTTTTCATTCCCTATTATTAACTATCCATTTTTAGATGGTGAAGTTCCCTTGTCACCATCTTATGGTGTTTATATATCTCAACTTGTTCGATTCGCTCGTGTATGTAACAACGTATTTGATTTTAACGAAAGAAACCTCTGTATTACTGAAAAATCATTGCACCAAGGTTTTCGATATCACAAATTAGTCAAAACATTTACTAAATTTTATCATCGGTACAAGGACATCATTCGTAAATATAAATCAACATGTTGACGTCTTATACGTTCAGGTATTTCACATCCAATCTTAAATGGTAATATTCTTTACAAAGCACACAAATGTCGGCATTCACCTCAAAACTAACCAAACCTTTAAACAGACTTATTCAGAAGGGGTATAGTTACTATACTGTGTTTAGGTCATTAAAGATGGCATATTTTGGAATTAATATTGATTCACTCATAGGGTCTTTGCATCGGAAATAAACACATTTATTCTAAAACCAGTTGTTAGCATGATACGGGTTATTTTCTTCTCATATATTTTATGATGGTATGATAACAAACCTCTAACGAGAGGGATTGTGCTTGAATTTCATATCCTGAAGACATAATCTTTCAATCAGTTTAATTGAGGTCTGGAGCTGGCATGTCAGTAACTGCTAGTAGTCCTTTGTTAATTTATGTATCATTGTCATTTTGCTTAGTTTTTTCTGTTACCTATTCTGACATCGGACTCGGTCTTCTTTTAAACTGAGTTTTACTGTGCGTATTGCTGTGTGTTTGTTTATTCTACATTGGCTAGAGGTATAGGGGAGGGTTGAGATCTCACAAAACATGTTTAACCCCGCCGCTTTTTTGCGCCTGTCCCAAGCCAGGAGCCTCTGGCCTTTGTTAGTCTTGTATGTTTTTTTAATTTTAGTTCGGAGTTTAGTGTGACGTCCATTAATTTTCGCTGAACTAGTACACATTTTTGTTTAGGGGCCAGCTGAAGTCCACCTCCGGGTGCGGGATTTTCTCGCTGTGTTGAATACCTACTGGTGACCTTGGGCTGTTTTCTGCTCTTTGGTCGGGTTGTTGTCTCTTTGACACATTCCCCATTTCCATTCTCAATTTTATTAAAGGAGATGTGGTGTATACGTCAATGAGACAACATCCTAACAATACACTGAAATTAGTAAGGGTATGACCATTTGATTTTACTATGTCTTGGGGAGGAAAGTGTTGAAAATGAACATCATGGCCTGCTGAGAGCTGAAAATTAAAAAAAAATATTGCACACGACGGGGAGTAAAATTAAGATAAGAATGCGTACCAGCAGATGAAAATGGATAGTCATAACGCAAAAAAATCCTCCTGTCCCCGTCCTCCCCCGATATCAAATGGTCATTACCTAGAGACATCCAGTGATCAACACATGCAGTCTTCAACAAATGAATATACCATTATCTCATATTCTAAATCGGCACGTGTATAGACCAATTTTGAATAATAAAAAAAAGTATAAAAGTTCTGTTATCTATGCTGACTCCTTTAAATAAACTCATCGTAGATACCAAAATTAAAATTATGTACGCCAGACGCTTTAATGAGACTCCTTTCAAATGGCAAATACAATATTGATATAAACAATAGCAAGCACTGACGAGGTTCTTACAAATTTGTTTCGAGTTTATACAATCTGTAGTCCTCAACACTTTTCATCTTTATCATTCGAATTAAAAAGTTTATTCTATTTTATGTGGAAAAACGACATGTGTATTTCTGTGACATTAAATTAATAGTTTTTTTTATAAATTAATGGTTTTTTTTCCTACTTAGTTTAAGGTTAATAAATTTAAGATGATTTGACGACGTTAAGCCTATTGACGCTAATGTGTTCTTCGGTGGTTGACATTTTCGTTTAATCTTCCTCTTATTTAACAAATGATGTGAAAAACTGAGCGGATATTGAAAATATGTTTTTCCCCGACAGCTTTTGAAATACTAGTATACTGATTAGTAACAACATGTTTTAACAGTTCGGGCAAATATTGCACATATTGGGTAAATAAGAGGTGGCGCGCGCGAGCTGGTTGATTCCATGTGTACCTCTGGTACGGGCATGATATAAATGATGCATCCTGGTTATAAGTTTTCAGTTGATTTATAGAAGACCAAAGGTTGCAACTCCCTCAAGCAAAACTAGGCTTAGAAACTTTTCACTGTTGTTTTTATAAGTTCTTCTTGTTTTTGATGCACATCAAATGTTAAAACATTAATCTAATATTTTATTACGATACGATAGTAGAGGGCATTATGTTTTTCGGTCTGAGCGTCCGTTCGTCTGTCCCGCTTCAGGTTAAAGTTTTCTGTCAGGGTAGATTTTGATGAAGTTGAAGTCCAATCAACTTGAAACTTAGTACAAATGTACCCTATGATATGATCTTTCTAATTTTAATGCCAAATTAGAGTTTTTACCCCAATTTCACGGTCCACTGAGCATAGAAAATGAAAGTGCGAGTGGGGCATCCGTGTACTATGGACACATTCTTGTTTAATAATATATAATTTAAAAGGTAACAGCATTTATATAAAAATATGGAAAAACTATGGTTTCTTAAGTAAGTTTATTTATTTTAATGCCACGAGTAGATCATTGCAATTAATTATTTATGAGCTCATGAGTTTATTGCGCCTTGGTGTCTTTTGGCTATCAATTTTAGGTCTTTTTGGGCCATAAAGCTGTTCAACCGTATCGGTTCTTATACTTTATTGTCTTTCAAATTTTCGGCTTTAAGCGTTCCTGATAAAGGTAATCCAGAAAAACGCCTTGGACGCGTGAAATTTATAGTGTTGTTTTAATTTTGTATGCCTCCTGTGTAAGGAGTTTCACTCAATAGATTTGTACTAAGCACAAAATCTACCAATTATTGATGGCCACCATAGATGTTGAATAGGGATATTTGCAGTCGCCTTCAGTCTTCATAACATTTATGGTGTAGTAGGGATGTACTTCTGTTAGTGAAATCTCCATAAAGAAAACATGCTTTGGAATATCGTATGAGCTGATATACATTATATGTCACCTTTTTCATATCGTATGAGATGATATACATTACATTACAGCTTTGCTAATAGGCCTGTATTCTAGTCATTAACAAGACGCTAGTATTAATGCTAAAACTGACTTCATTAACATTCACTTTTCTAATATTTTAACACATAACCTTTTCTTGTTATAGGCAGATCTTATTGTAATGTTACACAACTGGTTACCATGTTGCGCTTGTTTGAGAGAGCTAATGATGAGAAGTTACAGTCTGTCAACATATGATAGTATGATGTATACCAAACGAAATGCAAGTCAACTCAGACAAACCAGTTGTAACATAAGCCATAGGAAAATGTCCGGACGTCGGCCATCTAGAAGTATAAATGGACTCAGGAAAATTGGTATGGAAGCAAGCAGACCTCCTTCGGAATATGGATTTCAAAATGGAAAGATGGATTCTGTTGATTTATCATCTAAACATTACAACTTGTCAGAACCAAACCTTGCAATTCCTGGAGTACTTACTATTAACGATGAAACCCAGTCCTCTCGTTTTTAATTAAAAAATATTTAATCATTTATAATATGTAAAGCTTCCATAAGCAAATGTTTCCATTGGTGAAAGTAAATACTCGCCAAAAAATGTTGTCAGGAAAAAATAACATAATCTCCCTCAAATGCCTCAATTTTCATATGAATTTTCAAAATATGAGCTGGAAATGGACATCAAAAATATGAAACCTTGTATACATCCTTGGCTTTTAAATGATTTGGTTTGAGCGTTCCATGTGAAGGTAAATCCGTCACAATTTATAAAGACTTATTTTGATTGTATGAACAAATAAAGGATTTTTTCCAAAAAAGGTCAAAAGTGAATTTATGAGTCCGTTTTTTTATTCAATATTGTCAAAAGACTAGCGTTAAAACATACCCCCAAAAATTACTGTTCTGCACTTATTAAAAAGAGTGTTCCTTCCATACAAATATTGAAACGAAACGGATTTTTTTATATTTTATTGTCCAATTGTTAAGCATACTTGGGTCAGGCAAAACAAACCATCAAGCAGGATCTTGATAAATCTTTTGTTTTAGAGTAGATGCAAATTCTTATATTTTGATCTTGTTCATCAATCTATTTATAAAAAAAATCATTGTTTAAACTTGTTTTCGTAAGGATATTATCTATTATGGTTTGTCAATAGAAGTGGTTTGAAAACTTAAATCGATTTTGTTTTTGATACCGATGTCGACTGTGTAAATGAAAAGTCGACTTGATTACTGCACAACGGTAAATATACAAAAATGTATATGGTATGATAATTGTCCTTCACTTAGTCTAGGTCGCCCCCGAAGTTGTATAACATAACAAATGTCTTAAATCCTTTCAAAATATTGTTAATTTTATTGCCAAGTTTATACGAAAATAAAGACTCGCATATAGTGCAGAGAGGCTAGCTTGAACGTCACTGTGCAATCATAAACATTTGTCCTTTATGTGTTATTACGCATACAGTTGTTTTGTAAAATAAAACATTAGCAACAGCTTTTCCAAAGAAGATAAAACTCAAATTAGCATCTTTGTACGAGATATCTTGTAGCCAAATATTTTTTGTGTAAGGCTGTTCCTCATATTTAAAATGTCAAATCAAAACCATACATATAGACAGCGAGAGATCAGTAAAAGCTAATTCTTTGTATAGTTAAAAATAAAATCAAAGTCGCTCATGCAGCTTCTTTTCCATTCGAAGCGCTTTCCTTAAATAACCTTTATCAGGAACATTCTGTCAAAAATTTAGACAGCCAATGTCCTATTGAAACAAGGAGGGGTAATCTAATAAATCGTCAGATTGTCTACCGGATAAAGAACTTTGGTTTTGTTGAATGAACAAAATGCAATGGAAAATTGTGACCAATGCAAAGCACCGACATCTCGGGCGAAGTGCACAGCTGTGTTATGTCATTTGATTTTTTTTCAATTCAAGTTTGTTATTGTTAAAATCTGTGTGATATAATTCAATTGTTGTGTTATTAAATGTATATGATTTGTATCTTGTCCGTTTAATGAGCTTGATGAATTGAAGTCTGTAAACAAAATACTTAGCTGATATGAATGTTAAATGTAATATGAGAGCAAAGATAAAACTTCATTAGAAGCAAAGTAGAGTAATTTCAAAAGTACATAAAACCGAATATTTTATGAACAGTAAGAAAACAACTGTTATATTAATCATATGATTATGATCGTGCATCCGCTTATGAATTAGCAATGGTATGGTTATGTTTTACTTCTGTTAGTTAATAACTAGAGGTTATAATATTTCAATAATTGGACTATATTTAATTAGTTATCTTCTCCTTATCTGATGGGTTTACGGTGCATTCTATACATCTGATATCTCTATTTATTACATCTAGTATTGATTTACCAACTGCACGATTCTTCATCAGACTTGTACTAATAAGCTTTTAAGCAACAAGTGAAGTGGGAAAACTTATCAAATATAAACTTTGCTGGAATATCAGGAATTACATTGTAAATGCAATATTCTTTATGTGTCTGTCCAACGTCAGGAGCTTGTCATTCGGTGGTCGTTGGTTTCTGACTGTAAGAATTGTTGTCTTTTGTTGCTTTTTCATTAATAAGTCCGTGGATTTTCTCGTTTGAATAGTTTTACATCTTGTCATGTTGGGACCTTTTAAAGCAGACTATACGGTATGAGTTTTTACTCATTGTTGAAGACCTTATAATAGAACTTAATTGGGTATATGTGCTTACACTTGGACTTGGAACACTATCCACCAGGGACCAACACATGCTTAAATATGTAATACTTCCGTTTTATTTACACGATTATGGTATTTCCAGTCCAAACATATCTATTCATCTTATATTCAGACCGGATGTAATGGGTATTCATACCGGATGTAATGGGTATTCATACCAGATGTAATGGGTATTCATACATCCCATTGCAAAAACAAACAAGAGGCTGTCGAGTGACAGCAAACCGGATTTTCCTGCAGAGGTCGAACCCTGAACAGTTGAGCAAGTATGGACACAATATTTAAGCTTAAAACAGCTCTGAATTTGGATTGTGATTGAATATTTATAATAGATTATTATCTAATTAATAACGAAAAAAAATCCCAAGGGTTCCAAGGAACCCAGTGTCTCGCCTACTTTTGCTGTTGTCTATGTTTTCAGTGTGATAGGGGAATGCACATAATAGATTTACAGTTAATGAAATAAAACGTTTGAAATGTAGAAAAAAAAGTTAACCTTGTAAAAAATGAATACAGTATGCAATTAAATCTATAGATTTAAAAAAGATATGAAACATAAATTTATTGAATGAACAAATGATAAAGAAGATAATTTTTACATTGCTTGATGATTTATCCCTTAATTCAGACGACGACGGAATGTAGGATCGCTATGTTTCGCTTTTGCTGTTAGTCGCAGGCTCAACAAAAATGGGGAAAACATTATTAAAAAGTTTCCTCTAGATACTATCTTTTGATTGTAAAAAGCTTCTGTCCAAGTTTGGTAAAAATCAAGGATGGTTTATGAATCTTATAAATGTTTTAAGGTAGATCATAGGTATATATTTCCTCAGATAGAATTTTTTTATACTTTGCCTAAATAAAGATTTTTCTATGCTTTTTCCAAAAATATAATAAAAAGTATGGGTCACCGTGCTATTTTTCAAGCTACGGGTCGTACGAAATTGCACAAATTTGCTTAGATTGTTCATGAAAAAACACATTTTTGTGCTTAAAAAGAAATCTATGAGATAGAATTTTGAAATATAATATGAGAAGATAGGTTTTATAATAAGCTTTAAGAAAATAAAAAGAAAAAATGGTGTCAACGAACTTGTTATCCTGCTACAAATAAAACATTAAAATTTCCCTATCAGTCCAGTATATTTTTTTTACTAAAAGAGTTATCTCCCCTTAAATGGCCAAGCGGGAAAAATGATTCTAAAAACACAATTATTTGATATTTATTTAAACATTTTAAATAATGCAATAAATCACCAAGTTTTCTTTCATTAAATAAACAGTCTAACCTACAAATTGCCTATCTGTCTCCAAATTTGCAGATTTGGGCAAAGATCTAGACCGATTGTGTACTGCGATTGTACAATCCAAGATGGCGGTATACCATGAATCTACCTTAAAATTTTTAAATGCAGACTCTATGTAATGTTAACTGGAAGAAAAACTAAGTCCATTTATAAGTGATATATGGAAAAACAGGAAATTAATTTTTACAAAACTTCCTTCTAGATACTAGCTTTTGATCATAAACAAGCTTCTGTCCAAGTTAGGTACAAATCCTGGATAGTTTAAGAAAGTTATTAAAATTTTAAAAACCTTTAACCACAGAGTGAATGTAATGTTAATTGGCAGAAAAACTAAGTCCATTTATAAGTGAAATACGTATAAACAGGATTTTTTTTTACAAAATTTACTTCTGAATACTATCTTATGATCATAAACAAGCTTCTGTCCAAGTTTGGTAAAAATCCAGGATATTTTAAGAAAGTTATTAAAATTTCAAAAACTTTAACCACAGAGTGAACGTAATGTTAACTGGCAGAAAAAATAAGTCCATTTATAAGTAAAATACGGATACACAGGATTTTTTTTTTACAAAATTTACTTCTGGATACTATCTTATTATCATAAACAAGCTTCTGTCCAAGTTTGGTGGAAATCCAGGATAATTTAAGAAAGTTATCAAAATTTCAAAAACTTTAACCACAGAGTGAATGTAATGTTAACTGGCAGAAAAACTAAGTCCATTTATAAGTAAAATACGGATACACAGGGTTTTTTTTTACAAAATTTACTTCTTGATACTATCTTATTATCATAAACAAGCTTCTGTCCAAGTTCGGTAGAAATCCAGGATAGTTTAAGAAAGTTATTAAAATTTCAAAAACTTTAACCACAGAGTGAATGTAATGTTAACTGGCGGAAAACTATATATTAGTAAGTCCATTTATAAGTAAAATACGGATAAACAGGATTTTTTTTTACAAAATTTACTTCTGGATACTATCTTATGATCATAAACAAACTTCTGTCCAAGTTTGGTAGAAATCCAGGATAGTTTTAAGAAAGTTATTAAAATTTCAAAAACTTTAACCACAGAGTGAACGTAATGTTAACTGGCAGAAAAAATAAGTCCATTTATAAGTAAAATACGGATACACAGGATTTTTTTTTACAAAATTTACTTCTGGATACTATCTTATTATCATAAACAAGCTTCTGTCCAAGTTTGGTGGAAATCCAGGATAATTTAAGAAAGTTATCAAAATTTCAAAAACTTTAACCACAGAGTGAATGTAATGTTAACTGGCAGAAAAACTAAGTCCATTTATAAGTAAAATACGGATACACAGGTTTTTTTTTACAAAATTTACTTCTTGATACTATCTTATTATCATAAACAAGCTTCTGTCCATGTTCGGTAGAAATCCAGGATAGTTTAAGAAAGTTATTAAAATTTCAAAAACTTTAACCACAGAGTGAATGTAATGTTAACTGGCGGAAAACTATATATTAGTAAGTCCATTTATAAGTAAAATACGGATAAACAGGTTTTTTTTTACAAAATTTACTTCTGGATACTATCTTATGATCATAAACAAGCTTCTGTCCAAGTTTGGTAGAAATCCAGGATAGTTTTAAGAAAGTTATTAAGATTTCAAAAACTTTAACCACAGAGTGAATATTTGTGGACACCGCCGACGACGAAATGTAGGATCGCTATGTCTCACTTTTGCGACAAAAATCGCAGTCTCGACAATGATATTTGATAATCTGAACCCCAAACAGGATCATGTAAAGATTAAACATTAACACACACAACAAAAATAAAATACCGCATAACAACTGTGACATCTACATTCCTAACACACATGACTTAAAAAAAAATAGCTATAAAGAAATTTTGATGTTATCATTACTGATTCATGGAATAAGTTTGAGTTATTTCCCTTTAAACAGAAATATAGTTTAACATAAGATATGACTTCACTAAAAATAGTTCTCTAAAATTAGATATGATGTAACACAATGTATGTCTATTTCTAAATTATAATCAAATATAATTAATAGTTCCAAATACTTTTTTCTTTCATTTGTCACAAACTAATATAGATCTGTAACTTATCTATCAACTTTATCTACACAATGTAATGTAATGAAATATATCCTTTAATTAAAATAGATTATAACCTAATTAAAGGAGTTCACTTCATCAAAAAAAAATTATATATATAGCATTCAGAAAATTTGTTAATACAGAATAACAAACAAACCTGCAACAAAATTCTTCAAACAATTTACCAAAGAAAAGAAAAAAATGATTTATTTCCCTTTGTACAGAAATGTATTAATTCATCAAAAATTGAATTCTTGGGAAAGGGCTATAACTGAACAACGAGAAAAGCTAAAATCATGAAAATTGAACTTGACCTTCATTTAGTCACAGGAAACAACATATCTAAATTTGAAAAAAAAATCTTTAAAGCGTTTTCATGTAAATGAACGGACACTGTTTGACAGCCGCCCGCCCATCCGCCCGCCCGCCGTCATCCCCAAATCAATAACCGATTTTTACTTCGAAAATCCGGTTGAAAACGCTCCTCAGCAACGGTTCTTCAAATTTATATTTTCTGGACTCTATCTTGATTTGTGTGACCGCTCTACAATATCTGTGTCACGGATGACCACGGATACGTTCCATTTGTCATAATTACTATCACGTCTTTCTTTCTCTTTTCGACAACAATAAATGCGACTGGTTGCTGAATTTTTTACTTTTTTACTTGTCATGAACAACAGGACGGGTACCAAAAGACTAGTATCTGAGTTCAATCCAGGTTTATGGAGTTTTTCGTGTATTACAAAATCTATAGTTTTCTGTGTACTGTTTTCTTTCCTTGTAGACGTGGTGTTGTCTGTGTTTCTTCGACTTATGTTTGTGTTGCCCCTTTGCATATACATTTTGTTTATCGCACACATGT